ACGATACCTCAAAGACTAAATTTTCTAATTACGGTCGCCCCTCGGCAGAGAATGTCAATTTCAAATTGTCAGAATTTCTAACTGATTTTCTACTAGGACATAGAGAAGCCTTGTAGAATGTGTTACCATATACCATAACAGTAACTGCGATTTACTTAAAATTCGGAGCATGAGTGGCCTGTATCTTAGATTAGCAGGAAGTCTACTTTTCTCTGGTCCGATTTGGCAGGTTCCAACAAATGATCGCTTTGCTGAGGGATGAGTTTGCGTACAAACGACGGAATATGGCCAAATCAATTTAACTTTGTATAAAATTTGATGCGCCTATCTCTTCACCTTTCGGTACTGACATACCTAGTACCGAAGTCAATATACCATTTCATGTACATTTAGGTATAAAATATCCCCAATGAAATGAAAATTGATTTTTCTTCTTTGTTTCTTGTAGTTTGGTTTTAAAAGTTTGGTTAAGTTATTGTGGCCGGTTGATGCACCTTTGTAGTGCCAGATAGAGGTTTTTTTATTGCGATGCGAGGTAGTCGTCGCATATAACATCAGTGCTCTTCTCGATGTAAAAGAAGGACGTAATATCTAACTTTGAAACCTATTCTAGTTTCTTGAAATGCGAATCACAGAGATATCTAAGATGAGTTCCTGATAACACCATACATAAACAATAGCTCTCCTCCCTGCATAGTAAATTCTGGTCCACCTGTTTCTTTTTGCTGAAATTGCTCATGGTCTTGGCGTTTTTGTGCAGCTCTGTTGGAATCGTTTCGAGTGAATTTATATTTCGTTCGCTAACAAAGCTCGTGACAATCTTATAAGTTATTTCGTAGCCCGTAACGCTTTCGTGAAGTGGAACTCAATTATATGCAGCCTTTTACCTCCGGCTGCCTGTTCTCCCGCTTTACTGCTTCTATAGACATTGTCTGATGCAATGCGATGTGTACCGCCTGACTATCGCATTTATCAAATTCGCTACATAGGAAGCTTTTCTCTCTCTGGGAATTGGATTAGGGACTGATCTATTGGAGAAAATTCTGTTTATAATTCGATTTACACCAAAGATCAAAGATGGTCTCTTCTGGATGAGTGCTCCCTTCAAGTGGTCCATTCGTTGGCAGTAGAGTGCCGAATTGAGCGTTTGGCTATAGGGGAGCAGCTCGTAGTAGATGATTCCTTGCCAATCCGACTAAACACACAGCAAAACCTTCCTAGCCGCCAATCCAGTCTTGGCCGCCACATGGGCCGCTTCCACGAGCTTTGACCACTACCGTTTGCTGTCGATGTTATTGTACGTAACCCATTTTTCATCGCCAGTCACAATCCGCCAGAGAAATGGGTCGATTAGTTGCGATTCAGCAGCGATTCGCAGATGGAAATTCGGTCCGTTATGTTTTTTTGCGTTAGTTCGTGTGGCACCCAAACATCGAGCTTCTTTTTGAATCCAAGGTTATGCAAATGGTTTCAAACGGTTTCCTGGCTTATCTTTAGTTCCTCACGTGATGGTCTGTTTCCAATATTTTAATGATTTTATCGCAATTTTCGACAACAGGCCTCCCGACGATGCACCTGCGTGGTGCATCTTTGACATCGAAATTACCAGAACGGAACCTAGCAAATCACTTTTGTGCTATACGTTCGCTTACATTATCGGACCCATATACTAAATTAATTTTTTTCAGCCGCTTTGGCAGCTTTTTCGCCTTGATCGAAGGAAACTTGTAAAATTTAGCGAATTTTCTCTTCGCTGGTGTCCATCTTTGACGTCCGCTCACAACGTACTGAGTCAATTAATCGAAAAACTTTTAATGGCAAACTTTTAGCGCGAATAAACACCTTTTCAGCGCTGTATAGTATGACTTGATGCGATACGTAACCACTAGTACTATGGACATTAATGCCACCTCATCATCATAAAAACCGAATGAACTTTTTATTTGACCTAAAAACAGTACTTTTTTAAAGGGTGGGGATCACAGACAGATTGACAAAAGCTCGTATGACTTGGATATACGTACGTGTATGTAGGTTCGATTCGCATTTTTATTATTCTTCGGCAGGACGTTACCAGCTATTTTTAAACTGTCAACTTGAGTGTGACCAAACATACAATATATCGGAATGCTTTGTTTGGCTAACTTCGAGATATTCATGCTGAAATGTTTGTGAAAGACTTCGGTTAGTGAAAAATGGACCTATACGCATACATAAGGGTGGTTGGGCCAATAATAAATATAAAAATCTTATTACTTTGACATAGCTGAATCTCAGTTAAGGTTTTTTTTATCGCTCTTTGCAATATCAACTAGAATAAAAATTATACAAAATACGGAAAGTTACAGCGACAAGTAGCCCGGTCTACTAGTGGCCAATACTCTTGCTTCTATCCACACAACCACCATAAGAGTGTACTCTACATATTATCAACACATTTGCCATAACTTTCTGAAAAAGAATATACGTGATAGAATATTTTTACATTGATCTGGAGATCTTGTTTGCCATAAAGCGCTGCGGTGGAAGAGCTGCGGTGAATACCTACATACCTTTGCTTTTACTTTGGTACTCGCTTATTCCAGTGTAAGAGTGCAAGATATTTCATTACCCCACCTTCTACCTGCTACGTGATCTACTTTAATGAAGTTAATAAAAAAAAAAATATGACTCATAAATATTTAATATCAATACGTTTAATTAATTGCACAATAAGTATTTTCAAGAATTGACAATAAAACACAATTAAGACTTTATAAAATGTGATTGCGAAATAATTGCCAATGAAATACTTTCGTAAACATTCTTACAACTATTAAGTATTCAAAAGAATTTTACTAGTTCATGGCTCATACTGCGAGTGCCGCCTCGCTTGCGTGAGAAACGAATCAATTGCACAATTTTATGATTTGTCATATCAAATTTCAAGCTGTTTTCAAGTGCAGCACTTCAACTAGGGTACTCTACATGCAAGTGTTGAAATAGACTTGGGTATGTGGAAAATATTCTTTTGGAAATTAAGGCCAAACTTCTGCAGGGTTGCATGGGTTTTCCATTGATTGGCGAATTGATTTGATTCTCAAATATGTATGTAAGCAATAAGATTTTTTAGAATTATTTTATGACTCATCAGCAGTGCTGTGTAGAGCGCACTTTTAAACTTGAACATTTTGCATTCGAACTTATAATCGTCGGTTCTATAATCAGCAAGCCATGGACTAACATAATCTTCCACGTGAGCCGCCATTTATCTTAGTATGAATAAATTATCTTTCTTCTTTGTCTGTAGCGAAAAATGTATTGCCACTTAAAATGCACCCACCCATTTGAATAATTTTATGGGTAGTTCTATGCAAAATGAGATTTTTTTAGTGTCAACATACCAATTAATTATTTAGTGGACTAAAAAAAAAAGCTGTTTTTCCCGCTGAACTTGATCCATAGCTAAAGAGACTAACCAAAAAATTCAACAGCTGTTCAAAATAGAGCTCTTGATACCCGGGTATCAAGCATTGTGAGCAGCACGATACTCGCTCGATACTCATTCATTGCTAAACTGCTTGAGTGATCGTTTGAAATCTTTGAAAACTTCAATTTTGTTTGTCAAAGTTCCTTTAGTATTTTAATAAGTTTTGTGCATTGGAAAAAATAAAATTAAAATTATAGAAGAAAGTTCTGGGGAAAACGACAAATATTTCTTTCATAATGCTCAAAAATGCTCGAAAAAGCTCGAATTGCACGAGCTCAAGCTCGAAAATGCCCGTGCAACTCGAAAATGTTCGAGCAAAATCTTGAGTTTTAGTTCAAACACAAGTTAAAACTGTAATTCTCCCATTTAAATGTGATTGACACAAATTCTTCTTCATCATTTCAACCCTTCCTCTCGCTGTTTGGCGGCAGTTGGAAATACCAAGTGAATCCATGTCGCTCCCCACCTAGTTCGAAAATAAAGGTAACCGCTGTCTCTTCATTCGCTGAACTATATCAATGCCAACGTAGAACTTATATGGCTGATAGTTCCTTCGTCTGCAGTATTCGCCGTTGCCAAAGCGCAGAGGACCTTAAATCGGTCGAAAAACTTTTCTCTCGAAGACTCTCAGGGCCGACTCAGCAGATATCAACACTGTACACGGTTCTGCGCCATATAGTAGAATGGGAATGATTAGGGATTTGTAGAGCTTGGTTTTTATTCAATGAGAGAGGACTTTACTTTTCAACTTTCTACCCAGCTCAAAGTAGCATCTGTTGGCAAGAGTGATTCTGCGTTGGATTTCAAGGCTGATATTATTATTTGTGTGAATGCTGATCCGTAAATAGACGAAATTATCAACGACCACGAAGTTATGGCAGTCAACAGCGGAATTCAGTGGAATAAGATATTTCATTTCATTAATACACAAAGTATATAATGTTTGTTCAGCTAATAAAAAATATCGTTATTTACGACTAGTGCATATAATGGAATGGCGAGACGAATCGATTTAGCCATGTCAGTCTGTTTCTCCGTCTGTCTCTGTACGCGATAACTAAAGAAAGGACTAAGATATTTTGATAAAACTTAGTTAACATATTGCCAGGGTCACAAGCACGGACGGTCTAAATTCCGTAACAAACACCAATATAACAGTAATTTTGGAAAATACAAAAAACGCGTTTATTCAGTAAGTCATATTTATTAGATTTCTGATGGTCGTGGCTCCAACTAATTTTGGAATAAAGTAAGCCCCGAAAACTATTGGACAGCTGCACAGAATTTTGTAAAATTTCATACTTAAAATTCCCATCGTCTTATTTGGTTAATGAATTGAATGTGAGCGCGGACGGTCAACAACTATACTTTTGTCCAATAAATACAGACTTTTTACCTTCCACCCGCCGCTTGATTGAGATTCAATAATAAGCAGCAAATTTCAAGCAGACTTGTTAGTTATGCTACTTTTAATGGAGACTAAAGTTCTACCAAAGAATAGCTACGATATTATGAAGAGAGATAGACTTACCACATATAAAACAGACTTTCCATTTTTGACCGATCTGTTGACCTAGAATAGATATCAGCCGAGAATCGAATGTTTGGTTCCATCCGATCTTTGTCTTACTTTCCTTTTTAATTTTGTGTGCTCATCACCTTGAATTTTTTTTATTTCTCAGCTTCACCGTGTAATTCTATAAAGAAATTTGTGTGTAAATGACAAAATTATTAATTATACTGATACTGATTATTTGAAATTTTTTACAGCTCATAAAATATAAGAAAAATAGCCAATTTTGTTCAAAAATATGTGGACACCTAAACTTTATTTGGTGTTCATGGGAGAACGTTTTTTTTTATATCTCAACATAACCACACTTCTCGAGCAAGATAAAAAGAGTTATTTTACTTTTAAAATTTGCTCACTGCAGAAAATATCAGGGAAAATTGATAAAAAATGAAAAAAAAAAAATGATAAAAGTTTTGCTTAGGTAAAATTAAATAAATAATAATTAAAACAGTGACTGACATTTTCTATCTGTAGTGAGACTCAAAAAAAAAAACCATGAAAGTTTGAAACCAAATTGAGCGAGCGCAGTAACCGAGTGGCCAGTAGTACGTGCTATAATGCGGGTGGTCATGGGTTCGAATACATTTTTTAATTACAATCGACCGTTGGAAAGAAATGTCAAAAAAAAAAGCTCCTCATAAAAATCCAACAACCAAAAATATTAAATTGGGAGTAAAAGCCAAAAATCTCTATTACGTTTGCAGCACAGAGTACACAAATACTGTTCATTCATTGGAATTACCCACAGTCTTGTCTAAACGAGCGCACCTTGAGTTAATGTTTAAAGCAAAAGATAAAGAAAACAAAAAAAAAAAAAATTATAAAAATAGCAAAAAATCGCAACGAAAAAATAGTAAATATTTGCTCGCAATTAAATTGCAGAAAAATAATAAATGAATATGCACATATGTATATACATGTGTATGCATAAAAGTAGAAATAAATAAATAATTAATACTAACCAATAAACACAGCATCAATCAAGCGCGCCAACCGTGATGCTCTAATTTGACAAAATACCCGCATTGCAGCAGAAAGACTTCGACTCTTTAACCCCATGCACTTACTTACAAACATAACTACCCATATATACATACATACACATGTACATTCACACTTAATGTTAAGTGGTTAAGTAAATTATTTATAGCTACATGTGTATGCCACATGCAACCACAAGCGACATAAATATACATACATACATATGCACATATTTATTTCAATGCCAAGCTAGCCACAGTTAGTCAGTCAGTCAGTCAGTCAGTCAGCCAGTCAGTCAGTGAGTCAGCTGCAGAATATTACCAATTCAATGGACGCTTTAGTGGTTAGTTCAATTGGCTTCTGTTAAATGCGATCATCAGCAAATACTCTTACAGCGTGATGTGGTTAGCAGTTGGTGGTTGCGGCTACTTATAAATAAATATATGTATGTATATACATACAAGTAGGTTCATGAGTCCTTTGTCTCTTAATGCTATTTGCAATTGCAACCACATATCAGTACTTATAGATGAAGTCTTTTATTTTTATTATTATTATTATTATTTTTTTTTGGAATTTAGCAAATACTCTTGTGGTGATCTTACTTGCGGACACTTTGTTGTGCTCCGCTGCATTCATTGGGACGAGAATAAAAAAATTAAAATTTTTTTTAAATTAATAATATCGTGCAATTAACAGAATCAAGCTGACAAAGATATGTATGTCACTTTATATATATTTATGTATATATATTCATAATTTAGTCACTAGCTAAGGCACATATGTATATACGAAATGTATATAATATACGAGGGTTAAACCAAAACTATTCTCAGTCTTTTGTCGAAATATTGTTTCTGGAAGAGAAGCTCTTTACCCAGTTGTAAGTTGAAATATGGTTTCTTGAGTACTTAAAGATGACACAATTCTCCACTAAATAGAAAGGCATTGAACTTAGCGGACAATGCCAGGCACTAATGTCTTGCAGAGCGAATAGAGAGGAGATAATTATAAACCACTTTATCATTGACAAACAATCCCGTTTGGAACTGGGTCACTCCGTGTGTCAATTGGTTCCTTAAAAACTCTCCTTCACCTTCATTTTCTTAATAAATGATGTTGTGGCGTTTGCTTATATGATGCACTCTCGGCCAGTTTAAGAATACTTGATCTCCTCCTTTAAACGTATAAGGCTAATTTCAGCTTGGAATCACGGCGGACTCGCCGGTAACTACGAAACTGATGAGCTTACAGAAGTACCTCATCTTTGAGTTGCGCCAGAAAAAACGAGTCACTCGGCCGCGCATCACCTTTCAGACCTTCTGGGATGGATCTTACCGCAAAGCATGTGGAAGCGGCAGCCCAGACCTAGCTGCTATGATGCCTCAGCTTTTTCACTGTTAGCCGGTATCTATATAACATAAATTCTGAAATGATATACAACATATCTGTATAAATCCTGACTTCATAGTCTTGGAGGTCAGGATAAATTTTAGCTTGCTTAACAGAAAACATACTTCTATGCGATGTAAATATCTTTTATTTGAGAGGAGCTAGATCTGGCAGAAGAACGTTGCATTGGTCTGGAATATAAAACCCCCTAAAGATGGATAATTCTGGATAGAACTACCGGACCGACCCTTCGATTGAGCTTCGAATCAGCCAGTTTTCGTCTAGTGCCTCTTTTTCCTGCAGTTCTCTCTTTGAAATTGACTATGGTTAAGAAGAAGTCTGTTTTGAAACCTTCAAAAATGGGGTCATGAGAGGAAAATTGTTTACTCTCATTCAACTGGGAGTGACCAAAAACGATACATATAATTCCAGTCTTAGACCAAACATTCTCTGAGTAGCCAACAAGCATCCGTTTGGATGCGAACTGAGCTGAAAAGTCAAATGTCAGTCATGATATCCAACGCAGAATCGTTCAGATAGTTGGGAAGCGGAGCGAAACGTGGACGATATTGACAACCGTTGGGAGTTTTTGAGAGAAAGATTTTGCGTAAGATTTATGGTCTTTTGCACATTTGCAATGGCGAATACTGCAGACGATGGAACAATGAGCTTTCCGAGCTAGGTCCCCGTATAGTTCATACATAGTTCTGCGAATGAAGAGATAGCGACTACGCTGGCTAGTTGATGTCACTCCTCGATTATAGCACTCGAACTCTTAAATTATTCGTTGCGGTAATCGTATTTTCCAGACTTTGCTCCTTTCGACTGCTGTTATCAGTAAGAGTCCATCAAAGAAATCGAAGAATGGCCCAATGATTGGATTGAGTACAACTAGGACTTATGGTATACGAAAATTATCAGAGGATTGGGAAAAAGTAGTCGCTTCCGACGGTCGACATACTTTGAATGTTGTATTTTTAACAAAGATCCATGACACATATATACTAATCTTTCGTTTTTCCATACTCGTATTCGAGGAGTTCTTATATTGTACATATACCGGGTCAGTTCCTAAAAGAAGTCTTCTGCTGGACGACCGTTTTTTACAAGCAAGATTCAGTTTGCGTACGAAAATTTGTGGAATCGCCCTCGTACAAGCTGTATATATGTATGTATGTATAAATATAGCTCCTTTGGAACATTTTGCGGATGGTTGACGTGTTGCCACCTCTATGACCAATAAATATGTATGTACAAATGAACGTCATGAACAATTTGCCTGCCCTGTTGCGCGCAGCTAAAGTAAAGCGTTCAGAGTAAATATGTATGTATAATTATATTTGCAATTCTTTACAACAGCAATAAGCATAATAAATAAAGTTGTTCTAAAAATTAAAAAAAAACAACAAAACAACAAATACTAAAAATTAAACAAATAAATAGAATAAAGTACAATATAAATGCCAACAGCTAAAGCTTACACCATGTGGTCCAGTGACTCCAACGCCTGTGGCGCGCAGTGGACTTACATTGAACTTAACATTGACAGCGTGTTTAACTTGCAGTGAACTCATACGTACCTAATATACCAACATATATACGTGTACATACAAACACATATTTTGTATGTATAGAAAATCATACTCAGCTCATTTGCTACGAATCTGCTTAACTGCATAGAATGAGGTCTCGGACATGACATTGTACCTTGAAATTGAAAATGCTTGTCAACTGAAATTGATGTTTGTTTCGTGTTCGACTAAAGATACTCGAGCCGAGTACTCGACAATTGACGCTATACACTCACATATATACTTAAATATATGTAATATAATATATACATATTTATTTGGTATGTAACGATGCATTCACATGCCAAGTTGTACCTTAAATGGCTTTTAACTAAGTTTTGCTTTTGTTTTTTTTCTTTTGATTTGAAAATTCTTGTGTTTCGTAATCTGAAAAGTGGTTTGATTTATGTTGCACGTTGCATGTTTTATTTATTTTTTTGTCATTTCTGTGGCATTTTCTACTTTGGTCAACACCCATTTCTTGTGAAAGCCTGTTAGCCGTGTTTTTATTGTTGTTTTCCGATTAGATACTCATTGGTGCGGGTGTTGTCAGCTTTGTACGATATCTGTTCAAATGGTTTATAATAGTACGACATTTCATTGTCACATTTCACACAAGACACATTTTCATATTTGGAATGGAATTTTTTTTGTTATCTTTTACACTTCACACTCGTTTTAAAGTCATTAAATGTTATTTATAGATGTAACTTACTTACTTTACTAGCGTAGACACCGCTTATGCGATTATAGCTGATCTACAACTGTGCGCCATACGTTTCTTTCTTTTTGCTGTGTGGCGCCAATTGGTAGTACCAAGTATCGCCAGGTCCTTCTCTATCTGATCTTTCCCACGGAGTAAAACTCTTCCTCTTCCTCTGCTTCCACCGGCAGTTACCACATCAAAAACTTTCAAAGCTGGAGTATTCGCATTCATCCGGAAAACATGACCTAGCCAGCGTAGCCGCTGCTTCTTGATTCGCTGAACTAAATCAATGTCGCCGTATAACTCGTACAGCTCATCGTTCCATCGTCTGCGATATTCGCCGTTGTAAACGCACAAAGGACCATATATGTTACGAAAAACCTTTTTCTCGAAGACGCTCAAAGCCGACTCATCAGATCTTGTCATCGTCCATTCTTCCGCACCATATTGTAGACCGGGAATGATTAGGA